CGGCGGCGTGGGTTTCTCTGGCGATGGCGATGTACTCGAGTTCGGACCAGGGGCCCAGCTCGGGGTCGAGGTGCTCGACAATGTACGTCTTGCCTGGCATTTTTTTCCTTTTTTTTGGGTGTGTATTCCCGGAGGAAGGGGTTTGTGTGGATGTTTCGATTTTTTTGTGTTTGATACTACCAGGGGGCTGTCTTGTCAAACTGAACTGCTTTGTTTCTTCTCGCTTCAGGTGGAATGGCCAGGCCACGTAATAGCGCAAAGATTGGGGTGGCAGGCTGTTAGCTGGGGGTGGGAGAAGTGAAAATGGGCTGAAATTTGTGGTCAAACGCTTGTTTTGGAGTCCATTGATTTTTTTGAGAACTTGCCCTGGATCAGATCTAGGCGCCTGCCCGCTGGGCTCTCTCCACTTGGGATTTGCTCACTCTATCCGTAAAGGACTAAGGCTTCGAGCCATCGCAGGCGCCCTTTTTGCGGCAAGGTGCCAGATGCTTAACGCTCCTAGGCGTGCCCTAGCATGTACGCCTCCTACGCCGCTTTTGGTTTTATTCACTATTAGGTAGGTACTCATTCGACTTCTACGCGGCACTTAAAAAAGATACACAGAAAGAACGTGAGTTGACCTGTGGCTGGTTCCGCAGGTTCCGCATGGTTGGCTTTCACTTGGCAACGGCTGTGCCGGTGCGGTCCCATAACCATTCATTCGGCATTGTCATCGTGGGGTTGCATAGAGCATGCCGTGAGTGTCGGGGCCGGGGGCGGTCCTTGTGGGAAGAAATGGACTTCTTTCCGTCCTCCTCAGGGTCCTCATATCGTCGAGCAGATATCATTATTTAAACCAGGGGCCGAAGACGGAGAGGAGAGGAACGGACAGGGCGGGCTGCTGTCTCAGGTTACAGATGCTTTAAAAGATGGAGAAGATATGCGCGTACACGGTAAGGTGGTGAAAACAGCGTATTACATAAGCCGGGTCTCCGAGCCCAGCAACCCGGGCGATCTGTGCTTCGGATGGGTGCCAAGGGGAGTTTCTAGTGTTCCACGCGTATGACTGTCTACATGTAACCTGACCGGTATCCTGACGGCTCCTGAGCATGATGAGCATGTCATCCCGGGTCGGTCCCGGTCTGGCAGTTGTAAAGAATGGCAGAAGAAGCAAAACAAAAACAAAAAAGGGGGTTCGATCGACGAAGCCAAGGTAGAAAAAGATGGAGGTGGAGGTCTTTGCTCTACCTACGGCACTCAACACTCAGCTGCATCGGTGAGTTCATCTCATCGTCGTACAGACTTGACTTCAGTTCATTGTTGATCTATCGACACTTTAATACACCGTCATAATCAATCAGTAAGCCGGTAATCGGTGGGAGCCGGTCGAAAATGAGAAACGCGCGGTCCGTTGAGCGCCCGACTAGCCCTAGCGGACGCCACGCATGGCGGCATGGGCAGCAGTACTCCCTGGGCTCTGGAGTACCTATCAATAAGGTAGTGGTAGCTGAGGAAGCCACCGACTTCACACACTGGAGTCTTGTGTGAGTGAGAGTCTAGGCTGCTAAGAGAAGCCCCTGTTTGGAGACTTGCGACAGGCTCAGAGCAGGGCAGACTCTCTCCGTCGTTCCCTGCGGCACCATTCGGCTGCGCTACCATCCGCTGGGCGATAACAGGAAAGGCGACGGGAACCCCAATTCCTTCCACGTCTGTGCCCACGCCCGCCCGCTTCCTCACTCCCTCTCTTGCCCTCCAGTGCCTCCACTTGCGCCAGCCTATTTTGGTAGGCGGAACAGCGGGCAGGGGTAACTCATGGCTGATGGGAGTGGACTGGCTGACTGGTTCTCAGCCTGAGGATTGAACGGGAAGAGTGCGCGGCCGGGGGGTGGGTGGACGAATCGAACCGACTGGGGGAAGACTCGGGGACAGGATGGCACGGAAAGTACACATTTCAGATCTGAGCTGTAACTTCCGCTCTCTCGCCTTGGGGTCCACGGCTCAGGTCCTACTCCTGGATAATTCAATCGAACTGTACCTTGACCATTTGCGCATCGTTGTTTTTTTCCACTTATCCTTCCTTTCCCATCTTTCTCTCCCTCCCGAACGTCCGCCCTCCCTTCAAACAACCACCCTAATCTGCAAAACACACGTCCGTCCTGCTACGGATCGTGGACTTTCTCTTCTTCGACCTTTTCATTGTTGGGGGAAAGACGACGTCTCTATGAAATCGCGGGTTGGAACACATCCGTAACTCTATCTACCTAATCCGACCCAGGTAGCCTCGGGGAGGCCACACACTTCCCCCATCATGGCTATCCTCTCGATGGTGCCAGCGATCTTGCTTGCGCTGGCATCATGGACGCCCGCCGTCGCCGCCCAGAGCGCCGCCGATTACTTTGTCCACGAACTGCCCGGCGCACCCAAGGAGCCTTTTATTAAGATGCACGCTGGGTACGTTGCTCTCCGAAGTTGCCGCGCCTGCAGCACTTCATCATTTTCCCTTTTTGACCCCTGTGGAATAAACGAAGAGGCATTCGTAAACAGGAGAGCTATCCAAAGCTGACGCGCGTTTCATCACAGCCACGTCGAAGTAACACCAGAACACAACGGAAACCTCTTCTTCTGGCATTTCCAGAACCAGCACATCGCCAACAAGCAGCGCACTGTAATTTGGTTGAACGGCGGTCCAGGATGCAGTTCCGAGGATGGCGCCCTGATGGAAATCGGTCCCTACCGAGTCAAGGATAAGGACAACCTCGAGTACAACAACGGCTCATGGAACGAGTTCGCCAACTTGCTCTTCGTCGACAACCCCGTCGGTACCGGCTTTAGTTACGTCGATACCGATAGCTATCTGCACGAGCTCCCCGAGATGGCCGACCAATTTGTTGCATTCCTCGAAAAGTGGTTTGCCATGTTCCCCGAGTACGAACATGACGACGTGAGTATACTGTATTTGAAACGCAACTGCTTAGAATTGGGTTAACAACTCTGCAGCTCTACATCGCTGGTGAATCGTATGCCGGTCAGCACATTCCTTACATTGCGAAGCACATCCTTGAGAGAAACAAGAAGCCTGGCACGAAGCACATTTGGCAGCTCAAGGGCCTGATCATGGGCAACGCTTGGATCTCTCCCAAGGAGCAATATGACGCCTACTTGAAATACGCATACGAGAAGAAGCTCATCGAGACGGGATCCCCTGTCGCGTTGAAGTTGGAGCAGCAATGGCGCATTTGCCGCACCTCGCTGGCCGTCACAAACACTGTCGATTTCTCCGAGTGCGAGGCTGTCTTGCAGAGCTTGCTCGAGCAGACAGCCAAGGTAAACTCCAAGGGCGAGCGCGAATGCATCAACATGTACGACATTCGCCTCCGCGACACCTACCCCTCGTGCGGCATGAACTGGCCCCCAGACTTGGTCAACGTTACCCCCTACTTGCGCAAAACCGAAGTTGTCAACGCCCTGCACATTAACCCCCAAAAGAACACCGGATGGAAGGAATGCAACGGTGCCGTTGGTGCCGCTTTCAGAGCTCCCAACTCTGCACCGTCGAGAGATTTCCTTCCCGATCTCCTCAAGGAGGTTCCCATTGTTTTGTTCTCCGGCGCCGAGGATCTTATCTGCAACCACATGGGAACCGAACAGATGATTGGCGACATGGAATGGAATGGTGGCAAGGGTTTCGAGCTTACCCCCGGCAACTGGGCTCCTCGCCGCGACTGGACGGTCGAGGGTGAAGCTGCTGGTTTCTGGCAGGAGGCCCGCAACCTCACCTACATTCTCTTCTACAACTCTTCTCACATGGTGCCCTTCGACTACGCTCGCCGAAGTCGCGATATGCTTGACCGTGTCATGAAGGTCGACATCAGCTCTGTTGGCGGCACGCCTACTGACTCCCGACTCGACGGCGAGACCGGCCCGGCCACCTCGGTCGGCAACATTGGCAACAGCACCTCCGACGACGAGGAAACGCAGAAGAAGCTGGACGATGCGAAATGGAAGGCGTACTACCGCTCGGGCGAGATTGTCCTCATCATTGTCATCATCGCAGCGGGTGCTTGGGGTTGGTACGTCTGGAAGGAGCGCCGCAAGCGCAGAGGCTACTCTGGCATTATGGGCAATACCCCTCCTACCACTCAAAGAGGCGCCGCGCGTGGTCTCGAGGGATTCCGTGATCGGAGGACTGGTCGTGACGTTGAGACGGGCGATTTCGATGAGAGCGAACTGGACGACTTGCACGTAACGACACCAACGATGGATAAGGACCGCTACAGTGTGGGAGGCGATAGCGATGATGAGGCTCATGAGAAGCCCTCCAGAGCAAACGGCAGCCGCTCAGCGCGGTAAAAGAGTCAACGGCAGCTTTGCAATGATATGCGAGGTTGGCACAGGTCGAACACTATCATTGATGCTCCTCCAAACAATGCATGGAAAGTCTAGCGAAGGTTATCTTTTTTCAAAGGGCAGAGGATGAATGAACATTAGGCTTCAGCACGGAAACGGAGTTTTATGCGATGTCTGAATAAGGATAGAAGCAAGAAGATATTTTTTTCGTTCCATAGGGAAAATTTGGTTATTTTTCGTCTTGGCTACGGCCTGATACTTGAAGGATGCATCTACAGTTTCCCCATGCGAATCGTGCCTTTGTCCTATGCCAATGATTTGTATCTCTTCTCAAAGTCTAATCAGACTAGAGTTGTCCATTTTGTCCTACGCCCAAAACGCCCTCTTTCTCAAATGAAAGCGCCCTTTTGAAAAGTACCAATTTGACTTTGTTCGCCCAATGAACCGAACCGCCACCCAATGATTTGATGTTCCCCCAACCCCCTCGTGTAAAACGACATGCATCTTGCAGATGGATATATGTGTGTGTTGTATGTGCCAGGCTTTCCCTTCCGTACCATGACTTTGTAAACGCCAGTCGATTGTCTTGTTGTGTTGTTGTTGTTGTTGTCCCCGGAAAAAAAAAAGAGTATTGACAGTTGAAGTGTGTGAGATAGGAGAAAGAGTTGCCTTTTTTACAACTGGATGTCGTTATTGAGGATCCGCACCTCCTCGCCGGGCTTGAAGGGCGGGAGACCGATGTAGGGGCAGCCGTCGCACCGGAAGGCGTCGCCGAGGGCGCAGTTTCCGCAGGAGCCTACTTTTCCTTGGACGGTGAAGTCGACTTCGGCGAGGTCGTCTGCGCCGAGCTTGACTGCGGCGGCGGACGCGAGGGCCTTGTCGGCGGAGGCGCGGGCGGCGTCGTCCTCGGCTGCGAGGCGCTCTGCCAGGCCGCAGGTGCAGTCTTTGCAGGCGCGGCGGCGTTTTCCTGCTTTGGGGGCGCATTCGGGGGCTGTTTTTTTGGGGTTTTGTTAGTTGCGTTGCTGCTTTGGGGGGGGGGGGGGGAAGGGGCCCTCGAAGGGGGGGGGAGAGAAAGGGGAGAGAAATGGGTAAATGGGAGTGACGTACGGATGTTGATGGGGCGCGAGAGGTCTGCGTCCGTGAGGAGGGTGTCCTCGTCAATGAGGTCGTCGTCGTCGCCGTCGTCGTCCATGTCGAGGTCGTCGCTGAAGTCGACGAAGCCTACGCCCGCCGGGGGCGCGGAGACCGGGGGCGCGGTGGAGGGCTTGCTGTTCAAGGACACGGCGCCTCCGTTGTTGAGCGAGACGGCGCCGTCACCGTTGACGACGCCGAGCTTCTTCTTCTTGCTGCCAAAGCTCAACGAAACGACCTGGTCTTCACCGTAGTCCGGCTTCGTGAAGCCGCCGCCGGCCGAGACGAGACCGGCGAGGACGGCCTCGCGCGCGACGGCGGGGTCGTTTGCGAGGTTGCCGCCGTCTTGGGCTCTGACGTGGGCGCCGGGCTTGAGGGACTCCGCGACGGCGGAGAGGACCGCGCCGCGGTCTTGCGCCAGGAGGGCGGTGGATTCGACGCGGGAGCCGTCCGCGTCTGTGAGGACGAGGACGGCGTCGTAGGTTGCGGGGGGGAGGGCGACGAGGCGGGCGGAGAGGCGGTCGAGCATTTGGAGGTCTGTTGTGGCGCGGTCGTGGGTTGCGAGGAGGGATTGGAGCTTGTGGGGGTGGGACGCTATGGAGGGGGGCGCGAGGAGGAGGGTGCGGGTTGAGGATTGCATCGTGGGTGCGGTGGTTGTGGTTGTGGTGGCGGGGGTGAAGTCGAAGTCGGGGGTTGTGTCGAGGGTCACGAAGGAGGGTGCCATTTTGGGGAGATGGGTGACTCTTTTGTTGGAGTGCGAAGTGTTTTTTCTCTCTTCGTTCTTCGCGGTGTGTGTGAAGATTGTCGGTGGGAGACGGGGGGGAAATGTGAAGGGGGTCGGGAAAGGTTGTATAGGATATAGAGAGGTTGTGCGGTTGCGTTCTTTTTGCGGAATTGATTTGAGGAAGTTCCTGGCTTGGATTAGTCAATGACCAAGAAGGACGGCAAGAGAGAAAAAAAATAAAAACCATAAGAACTGTGTAGCGGGTTGTGAACGTACTGTAGGATGGCGGTGCTTGATAAGCGTGGAAAGGGTGAGGGGTCGGCGGGGTGGACACTGTAATCTGGCAAGGGTTGTCACACGGTATTGCGTAGGTCCTGGTTCTGGCGGTGGGATTGGATCGGGGTCGGGTACGGGAGTAGACGAGGATTGAAGTGAGGCCTTCTTGTTGTATGTCGATGGACGTGGAGCGCGTAATGGGAAGGAACGGGAGGAGAGGAGGGGGGGGAAAGGTAAGTAATTAAGTGGACGTCGGGAAAAGGGTCCTGGGACGGAGATGCACGATTCTTTGCCTACAGATCTTTATCAGATCTCTTGTCTCTGTTGTGCTTACGTTTACGGCGAAAATGAAGAGGCAAGATACAAATATGTAAGGCAAGGTAGGGTGCCCGTGGATTTAGGGGTCCGAAAGCGGCGGCTAAAAAAGCATCCCCGCCCCCATCTACGCAATAAAAAAAAGTTGACACTCACAATCACGAGCATGACATAGATGGGAAAAAGGCAGACACGGCAGACGCCAGAGTGACAGAAGCGACAAGGGGGTGGTAGTTGGAAATGCTGACGCTGCATTACTCCCGTACAGTTACTCCTAGGACCTCTGGGATGGGGACAAATTGGCCCAACCAGCGAGTTTGCAATCCTCATTTCCAAACAACCACCCTTTCTACCTTTTTAACTCGTATTTCCTCGGCGGATACCCGCTGCAAATTCTCACTCGTAATGACTTTTCTCTTAGCCTCTTTTTTCCCCCAAGGTGTGGGCGGCAAGAATTGGGAGTCATGGACTGGACTGGACCGCACAGGGACCTGACGGTCGGCGCCGCGGACAATGCACCGTGGCCACAGTGGGAATGACCGCTGACCAAACTGACAAAGGTGCATTCTCCGCAAGGTCATTGGTCGACTACGAAGTATAACCCCCCCCTTGGCGATGTTCATCCCTGCCCGACCAGTTCCCCCCCCTTTGGGCTCTTCTCAATTCTCAGGCTCCCCTTTCGCGGGGTCCAGTTCTGCAGGACTGTAACCCCCCTCCAGTGGCCCCCTTGCCATTCGGACTTGTTCGGCGCTGCTGCACCTGCGATTCTGCACCCTGATTAAGCAGATTCTGCCGGGATCGGGTCGGATTGCTCCCTTGAGTAAGGTAAGGTTCGACAGACGGGAAATACGGATTACCAGAGCCGTGTTGGCCGTTTCTGTTTGTCATCTCGTCCGGCCGGCTGCGGACTGGTTCCCTTATGCCTTCCTTGGCAAACCCCCCCCCCCCCCCGGCGCGCGCGACGATAACCACCGTCGGCCTTTATGGCCTGCTACGCCTTTACCTACCTCACCTACCTATCTTGAGGTACCTCAAGGTAGGCGAGGAAACTAGTTCGCTAGGTAAGGGCAGGTAGGCAAGTGAGTGATGTCAAGTCCATTGCCAAACTTTTGATTCGTCCCCAAGTGACCGGGTACTATATGCATTGTGATACATGAGAAAATTACTCGCTGGAGCTTTTGTCGTCTTGTTCTCCAGACGTCGATTCCAATATCCCGTGAGCCTCAACGCCGGTCCCGGAAAGTTGCCTCCTCTATAGCTGCTCCACACCTCGACAACGACGACGTCGACCGCAGTGACAACATGCTCTATGATATGACTCGCGAACCCCTCTACAACTTGAAGCTGCTGCTCGTCGCCTTGACCTCCGCCTTGGCCTTGTTCCCGTCGAGCCCGACAACCTCGCCCTTGCGGTTGATCACCTTGACCCCGCCCTTCTTCAAATCCGCCATCGTGTCCTTCTGCATCTGCGCCTTCTTGCTGAGCGGCTTCTTGTCCGTCCCGCCCGCCTTGCGGATCCTCTCCTTCTCCCGCCGGCGCCGCCGCACCTTGTCCTCCCGCGACATCTCCTCCCGCGCCATCGGCAGCCCGCTCTTGCCCAGCACCACCTCGCCCTTCTCCGCCGTCTCCTTGCCGGCCTTGTACACCTCCTGCGGCGCAATCATGCTCTGCCCGCCGCTGACCCCCTGCGCCGTCGCCGGCTGCGCGTCCTCCATCGCGATCGTCGCCGCGTCCGACACCACCGTCAGCGACGGCGCCGCCGCCTTGGGCTTGTAGTGCCAGTTGCTCAGCGAGTCCAGCTTGGCGCTCAGGTCCTTCCACATGCGCTCGATCTCCGCCTCTTCTTTGGCGAGCTTCTCGTCCGACTTGCTGACGTAGTTGTCCGGGTCCGCGTTCTTGATGTGCTCCTCCTCGTAAATCTCCGCCAGGCCCTTGCCGGACTTGGAGTCGTCCAGCTCGATCAGGCCCCGGCGCGTGTTCTCGGGCATGTTCTCCGCGCCGGGCCGGCGCCGGGCGACCTCGTCAAAGTCCTGCGCCAGGATCCTCCGCTTGATGAGCTCCTCGATGCTCTCGCTGACCTCGGCCGTGATGATGGGAACGGGCTTGCCCAGGTGCTCAAACGACATGTCCTCCTCGAGCAGCGAGTTCATCGGGCGCTCGGCGGCGGACGCCTCACCGGTCAAGGTCCACTGGCGCTTGGCGACCGACTCGGCCTCGAGCTTGCGGATCTCCTCGGCGAGCTTGGCCTGGCGCCTCTCGTGCGCGGACCGGCGCGACCGCGGATCGCCCGCCGAGGCGTCGGACAGGGCGTCGTCCGAGTCGTCTCCGTGGTCAGAGTCGTCGTCAAAGAGGTCCTTCTTGACGTCCGCCATGGCGCGCTCGACGTCCTCCTCCTGGACTGCCTTGGGCGCGAACCGCACGGACTTATTCTTCTTGTATTTGCCGTCCTTGGACGCCTTCTTCGCCGGCGGCGCGAAGAAGTCCTTGAAGTAGATGCCGTTCGCGTTGAACTCCTCCTCCTCGTTGTCCATGGCGTCGTCCATGTCCTCGTCATCACTGGCACCCTCGGGGGCGTTGAGGTCCATGTCGCCGAATGTGGGCCCGTCGTCTTCCGAGTCCTCCTCGTCTGAGCCGGCGTCGTCTTCCATATCGATGTCCTTGTCCTTATTTTTTGATGAGCTGGACTTGGCTGATGGTGCCATGGGGTCGGCGTTCCAGTCGATATCTTCGTCGTCGCTGTTGGCGTCCGTGTTGGGGTCTCCTCGCGCATCCTGCTCTTCGAACCACTGGGTTTGCTTGTTGAAGGCGTCGATTGAGAAGAAACCGTCGTTGAGACCGTTGGGATCCTCAACGTATTCCTCCTCATCGTCCTCTTCTTCCTCTTCGTCTTCTTCGCCATCCTCTTCCTCATTGTCTTCGTCCATGTCTTCGAGATCACCCGTGAGACCCTCAACGTCCGAGCCCTCAAGCTCCTCCGCATCAGAGTCCTCTTCGGCGTCCTCCAGATCAGAGCCTGACAGCTCTTCCTCGTCACTGGAGCCCTCTTCGTCGTCGTCAATATCTTCGGAAGCCGTCTCGAAAGAGAGAATAGAGCTCTCTGAACCATTGTCCTCGTTCGTGACAACCTCATTCCGGTCCTCGAGCTCCTGTAGTGTCTCCTTAGAGTGGTTCAAAGCGCTCTGAATGATACGACGGGCCTGCTGCCAGACCTGGCTTGTCTCGAACCCGTCGACATGGACCTTGCGAATCTTGAGAACATCGGGTCTCGCGCCACCGCCGTCAGCCCGCTTGCGCTTCTTCGTCGCCTCCTTCAGCAGGCGCAGCTGCTCGTCGCTAATCTGGCCGGCGAACGCATCGAGCGTGTCCTTGACGACCTGCAGAGAGGCGGACGGGATCGCGGGCGGCGGTTGGAGAAAGGCGTGTCGGTTCTGGGCGTCCAGGTTGTCGAAGAGGGCCTTTACGTCGACGACGCCGCCGTTGGGGAGCTGAGCGGCCATGCCGGGCGCAAATGTGAGGGTATTTGACGTCAGGGAGGAAGATGTGCTGCTGCCCGCCGCCATGATACTTTTTTTTTAATCGTGGCTCGCTCCCTCGGAATATGCGTGTTTCGGCCGTGCAAGAATTGGACTTTTTATTTTTTTGGTCGGACATGGGCTTGCGCTTTCCGTCAAAAAAATTTGGGACCCCGCAAAACGTCCGGGTTCGTGGGTCTAATCATGATTGGCCAATGAGATCTACGCTGCCTGTCAAACCGCGTTAGCTAATCGCTACAGTTCATCCGTTCTACACCCTTTTGGGTCGGCAAGTATGAAATGATAGTGACATTCGCCATTGATTGCAAAGTGCAATCACTTGATGGTAGTATGTAAGACTATTGAATCAAAGTCGGAAGAACCTTACACAGAATCTTGTCAGCTAGCTTGGATAGCGAAGTCCGAGGGACCAAGATTGGTTCAGATTGACCCCCGCCACTTTTATAGTCCAAACAAGTTGCAGTAATATTGAGAAGCTTCTAAGACGAATACCTGCATGAAGTTCGTGTACTTTGTTTGCTTGTGCCAAACGTCCGTCGTTGAATGCCCGCTGCTGCACTGTTGGTAAGATGCCAGAACGTCCCGGCGCGGTGGTGGGGCCGATCTGATCCCATGATTGAGGTTCCTCCGAAAGATTACTAAGAACGGCGGGACCCCAACGGCCTCGACTTACACATCCCAGCCCGTCGGAACTTGCTTCGTCTCACACACTACTCTGGAATTCAAGGTATCTATAAGCTATCGGTGCCAGATTTTCACAAGCCAAGCTCCCTGTCTGGCCAAAACACTATAGCAGTTTTGACACAAGAAACACGCGCAAATCGGTCTCATACGTAAGTCTTCCTTCTGGTTCTGGCTCTAGAGTGGAGAAGCACC